GCGGCGTCCACGGATCGGGAAGCAGGGGCGCCCACGGCTCCAGGAACGGCTGGGGCTGCGCGGCCGGGACGTGCCCAAGGAGGCAGCTGTAGGCCCCTTCTGCTGTGGCAACAGCGGGTTTAATTAACGGGTGCAATTTCATCTGCAGCCTGAAGAATAAGGAGGCGACCCTCCTCCCCAGGGAGGGCAGCGAAACCAGCTGCAGAAAGCTGGGTTGGTGAAAATAAAAAGCTACAGGGACTTGCAAGAACTGGTTTCGCAGCGACCTGGTTTACAGTAATCCCCTCGCTTGAGTCCTGTGGAGACCTGACCTCATATCAGAGACCGATTTGTGTATGAAAAAAGGGGGGAATAAAGGAAAAAGCGCGCAGAGATCATTGGATTCTGATAGGAAGCTACAGCGCAGCGTTTCTTTAATTTTTCTTTTTTCAGAATTAGCAAATTCTTTGAATTAGGACCTGCTGCAACTCCAACTCCTCTGCGCTCTTTTATACCTCAGGCTCTGCGACTCCAGGGCAGCTGCAGCCCTGCACAACTCATCACACCCGCAGGTTCCCCCTACCTGGTCACCCCCCTCAGGCGACAACCAGCGTTTCAGGGCACAGCTCCCCGTGAGGAGCGCGTGAGCGGGGACCGCAGCCAGAGCGGTGGCGGTGGCAGCGCGGGGCAGGGCTGCGGCACCGCGGCAGTGGCACACACCTGCAGTCCCAGCGGGCACGCGGGAAGGCGCCTGCAACGGGCCTCTTCCAACTGCTGAGCTTCAGCAACAACCAAGCTCATCCCTGGAAGCAGGATTTGCTGACTCCAGCACCAAGGCTTAACTGCTGCTCCCGAGGGGGACGAGCGTTGCCGCGGAACAATCAAATAAACATCTTGTTGAGCGCGTTCGCAGGCAGCTGGACGCGCGAGGGACAACTCACCCACAACCATGATGTTGAACTCAAAGCCCTGCTTCATGGCTTTCCTCCTCATCTGCTCCAGGATGGCGTCTATGCCCACGTAGCCGAAGTCCGCGGCGGGCTTCTCCGGCCGCGCCGGCGCCGCCTGCTTGAGGCCGGCATCTCTGGGAGCGTCCGTCATGCTGGGCGCGTAGCTGGGAAGTGCCTCGGGACCTGCGAACGGAGCAAACGGAGCGGTGAGGGGCGGCCCGGCTCCCCCCGGCAGCCCGGGGAAGCGGTGCGCCGTGCCCTTTGCAAAGAAAGTGGGAAAGGGAGTGCGCGGCAGCCCGGCCCCGCGGCTCGGTCCCGCTCGGCCTCCTCCTGGCACCCGGACGCAGCTCCCCGCACCGGGATGCTCCGCATGGCCGGGCGTTCGCTCCGTGTGCGGGACGGAGGCTTGGGGCCGAGCCAGCCCTGTGTGGGCGCTGCTCTTACAGACTCCGTGTCTGTGCCCTGCTGCTCCCTACCACGATGATTACAAGGCCGTACTCATCACGGGTATAAAAGCCTTGCAGTCCTATTTTGGGGAACCGCGTGGCTTTCTGTCAAACACAGAAATCCTCTGCATCCAGGGACACGTCTCCTAGCTTTGGCTGAAGTGCTGGAGATGCTGCTGTCCCCAGCTCATCTCTAGCTCTTACTGTTGCTCTACAGCAAAAACTGAGAAGTGGCACGGCCACAAAATGCTGCACTGCTTGATGCCTGTGCAGTAACGAGGCTTTCGTGACACTGCCGATACGCATGGGGCAAACCCAGCCCTTGGGCTCTCCAAAGAGCCAGGACACTTGTCCCACGCACGAGGTGCTACGGAGCGTGCGGGTTTGCCCGGTGCTTGGGCGCTCCCGGGTGCCCGCGGAGCTCCCTGCCTCACCCAGCACTGCCTCAAACGAGAGCTGGGAACCACCCGCGCACACGGGCAATGGAGGCAGAAGCGCCTGCTCCGCGGCAGGAGGAGCTGCGGTGATTCCCGCGCGCCGCGCCGCGGAGCCCGCACCACCCAGCCACAGGTCCTGCCAGGAGCTGCGACACGGGCAGCGGAACCGAGCTCTGCTAATGCGGGTGCAGGGGGAGGAGCTGAGGAGTGTTTTTTTAGGAAAATGCACTCATAAAAACCTTACCCCTGCAAGCTGATCACTGCCCAAGCCCTTGGATCCGGCAGCCTGCGCAAACCCTGTTTTAAAGCTTTTTTGCAAGACTTCGTAGGTCCTCATTACATTCCTGAAAGGAAGAACACAGACCTTCTCCTCTTGCTTGTTCGCCTAACTCCACTGTTATTTTTGGCCTTTTATGAGGTGCTACGTGTTTTCCTCTCCTTCCCTGCAAAGGGCTCCGTGTGGAGGAGCGCAGCTGCTCTGAAGGGGCTGCCTCCGAGCACAAACACGTCATCCCTGCTCCACTGGCGACCGGCAAGCGCCTTGGAAGCCGTGCGGACCGGGGCCCGCAAGGATGTGCGAGGAGGAAGCCCTCATTTCCTGCAAGCACAGCACACTTCAACCAGCCCAGACGCAGGCCAAGCACATACAGGCAAAATACCCCAAATCCCGACCGGAATTCATCATACAGACAGATGAGTTACTGTGAATGCTTCATTCCAACCTCTAGGCAGTTACGGAGCGATGCACCGGCGAGCGAGCGGGCCAGCGTGGACACACAGGGCAGCGGCGCGCGGCTCCGAGCTCCGGACCGGGGACACAGCTGTGCACAGCTGGCAACACGCGCTGCTCCTTGAAAACGTTACAGGTGCAGCGTGCCAGAGGACTGTCCATAGATCCCGAATTAGCACCGCTGCAAAGTGGCCAAAAAGTGGGAAAAATTCCTACATTCCACTAGAGAAAATAAATCACGTGGAAAATACCAGCAGCAGGAGCAGCAGGGGATGCAACCATTTAGCTACTGCAGGCGCATAGGGAGAACACCAAAAGCTCCCTGTGCCTTGGAGCAGGGAGGGCTGACCCCAGCGGGGGGCACATGCAGCACAGGGAGCCTCGGGGCAAGCTCAAAGCCACCGACTTTTGCTCTATTTGAGCAAAAAAAAAAAGAAAAAAAAAAGAAAAAAGAAAGAAAACCACCTTGTAACTGGGGGAATCTGCACAACAACGGGGATGCCAAGAAGTCTACTGCCCTTTGCAGAGCAAACTCATGTGTTGCAGCCAAAACATTTATCATCTTTTTAGCTTCCCAGCACTACAAGCAGCACCAGCAAGAGCCTGTCTTGCCTTAGCTGGGCAGGACTTGAGCACCCCAGGGCGATGCAATGGGTTTGCATGAGCAGAGGCAGGACGCGGCTGGGATGCAGGACCGCTGCACTGCCCGGGGTCAGGGACTGCTCTTGGCAGGCGCCTGGCTAAAACAGAAAGATCCCAGAATGAAACTGGAGCAGGAGCCGTGGCAGCCCTGGGGACACGCTGCCGGGATTCCCTGTACTCGCGTGAACTGCCGCGTTCCCCACGGGTCTGTGCCAAAACTGCGGCACTTTCTGCACCAGCGCCGCCGATCCAGCCCCTCCAGAGTGCTGCAAGAAGAGATGAATTCATAAGTGTGCAATAATGCAAGAGAAGTCCAGAGGGCTACTAATTCCCTGGCAACAGAGCCCAAATGCCATTGCCATTACTTCGCCCTTGCACAGGGGCTGTTGCACGGCTGCACACAGCGCGTGCCACTGTAACGGGCTCCCAGATGACTTTGGACAGCTTTTAGTTACTTTTTGGAGACTTTGCACTCAACTTTGCAGAGCTACAAGTGCCCAGAAGATAAATTCACTGCAGAGCTCTGATCTGGGCACAATTCCCCCGTCCCTCCATGCAGTGCTTTGTGCTAGACTGAAAACAGCACCGGCTTCCAGATTTGTTGGATGGGTTCATGCTATGGCAGAGAGAAGATTCATAGCAGCAAACAAGAGCACATCAGTCGGTCAAGGGTGTGAAAACACAGCAGCTTCTCGGAGAGCCGAGCATCCGCAGATGTTTTCAAGAGAGCCCTGCTGACCAACTAACCTTTCAATTACTGGGAGCAACAATCCTGCAAAATTATGAGCACTGGGCGTAACAGAGATGTTTTTAGAACCAGAGAGAGAATTTATAGCTCCCAGTTAGCTAGAGCAGATTGGCAAGACTGCAGGAGATGCAGCTTCCAGGTCCTTCCCACGTCTCTCGCCAAACTCGCAGCAGCTATTGAGGCTTTCGGCGTCTTCCAACGCACGGGGGTTTTGCGGGAAGCCCAGAGAGACCCAGTGCAGCCCGGCTGCTGCCGCCACCTTCTTTGGGAAGGCAGAAGGCCAAGGATTGGGGTGGGAGCAGCTCTTGCTTCCCCGGCACACGCTCAGCTCGGCACCACGGGATCACGCAGTGCCGAAGGCGGCGGATCCCTCTCGGATCCCACGGGGATGTGGGGATACCGGGGAACACCGGGACACGGCTTGGGCTGCCCTGGGGAAACTCGAGGGCAGTCAGCACGGCCAGGGCATGGGAAGAGGGCTCAGCCGGCGCGCAGGCTTCCCAGAGCCGCTGCCAATCCAGGAGTGACGAGCGGTAACTAAGGAGCATTTATTTCATTGCAGTCATCTGACCTGGAGCTGGCAAAGCTCCTCCGAGCGGGAGCCCTTCTGCTCCTGGCTTCCGCTTGAGGCTCGCTGCCAGCTCAGGACCATCTACCCACTGGCTCCGTTTCCTTCTTGTCTCGTCTGGTTTGGCCCTGGTAAAAGTCTGCATCACTGAGAAACAGCAGAGGACACTGAACTACACTGCAGTTGGACAAATCAACCCAAGAGTTGTCAGAGAGGTGACCAGGAGCCTCCTGGCCATGCAAAAACAGCAAAAAGCTTCATTTTGCATCTCTGCAGGCTGCCCTCCTTCAAAGCAGCCTGCAGAAGGGCTGTCTCGGAGGAGCAGACATGGGAGGAGAGTACATTCCCTTGATGCAAGACCCAGAAATGCCCCTCACTGGGCTCTGGCGCTTGCTGACGTTTGGCAACCAGCACAGATCAGGGCAAAACTCTAACGTGCCCTGAGCACCCGGAGCGGCACCCAGTGCAAGGCCTGTCATTCGCCAGGGCTGAGTCCGTTCTCAGAGCGATGCTGGCAGAAGAGGAACACACTGGTCTGGCTCTAAACGCTTCAAAACAAGATCCCGCACGGACAAAGCACCGAGTCGCAGGGCACAGACCCAGCACGGAGACTGTTAGGCTGAATGGCCCCAGCTCCCCACACGTGCTTCCCCCTCCCGGCTCCGGAAACGCTCATTCGGAGTTCACCTCTCGCTCCCTCTTTCATTTACAGGAGACAGAAGTTTTGCAAACCGCTTCCCAGGCTCCGCTTCCCCTTGCGGCTTAACCCTTGTGTTGCTGCTGCCGCCCTGACGAGGGGACATTGGAGGGCTCGGGCCCTGCCGCTCCCCAGGGCTGTCCCGGCCTGCTGGGGGACACCCAAGCGGTGGCGCTCCAGGGTCCGCCTTTATCCCTGCCTTCGGCCACATCTCGGTCAGCAGGAGCAAGCAGAGCATCGGGTATCCCCGGAGAGGCCGTTTTTCGCTGGGAACCACAGTGCTGACACCACGGGGACAGGCTGAGACCATGTCGAGCACAACGCAAGGGCAGGACAAACCAGCACTCACCGGCACAAGCCCAAGCCCCACAGCTCCTGCGCGTGAGAAGAAACGTTTGGGTCAATGAAGGATGAGTGGAGCATGAGACTGAGCCGTGTTTCAATTGAAAGGATTTTTTTTTTTTCAAATGTATTCAGGGCTACTTTGCCCCATCACATCTCTAACCCCAGTCCAATTCACAGAGGACAAATCAAACAGCAGGGTCAGAACCACCCACAGCATTTGCAAACCCCAGCCTCAGACGTTGTACTGGAGCCTTGCGACGCTGGGCACGCGGGTGGCATCACAAGGTGACGACAACCTCCCTTTGCCAGGCTCGGATGCCCGCTAGACCCCTCGGTGCAGGGAGAAGATGTTTCTGCACCAGGGAGGTAGCAGCACAGGAGGTCACGCAGAGACCTCCACGGAGGAGCTAGGGGACAGATCTCCCATTTCCACTTGCCGGGGAATTTTAGAAGTGAAGGCAAGATTAGAATCGCCTCGGAGACTTCCCGCCTACAGCCCTGCGAGCTGAAGGTCAAGCCTTGGGCACGGGGTCTCCATGCGGGACTCGGGCTGATGCCCAGCGCTACCAG